ACCATCCCCCGCCGTCGCCACCGCCACCGCCCTGCTAGAAGTTCCGGAGCTTTGTTCTGTGAACGCACTCGACACAACAAAAAACTATACCTCTAGCCGGACGATCGTGAACAAACACGAATATATTGCTTAGCTCTACGCAACCGTTCTCTCGGGACGGAATAAAACATAATGATGATCACGTCATTCCCATTCGCAGCACAATAGCAGTCGCTTCTGCTCACGAGCAATACTTATTTTACAAGCTCCCGTTCACTTTGCGAGCATTCTCATCGAAGCTCGGAGTTGGACGAGTAGGGGCGCAGGCAGAGCGGAAAGGACGCAATGCGACGCAGCAAGCTGCGGAAGGCGTGAGTCAAAGCGCGTTACAGTCCATGAACTTTAAACAAGAATAATATTCCGACAAGGAAGTACCACCGTACGTTTCGTATACGATTTAATGCATTGTACTGTGGAAGCTATAAAACTGTTCTACGTTTCAGAAGGTCATGAAATGTAAAGCAAATTTGTTTTACTTATGGTCACATCAGGCTGGTTCATTAATCCAAATCACTGAAAGAGGTGGAAATTGCAAACGAATTCCCGAATTACGAGCCTCGTAAATGTCTTCATTCGGGGATAAATAGGAGCGAACGCTGCTCAAAATTTACAGCCGCATCAATCTTCCATCGTCAGTGTACTCTTGCAACAAACACAGCGTCCGACATGAGAGAACATCTTGCTGTAAAGATGACAAAATATTTACCACCAAGAAACAAACAACTCATCGCATCACTTTCGCTGATCTTTCGAAAGAGCATCGCAACTATTAACCAAGTGACGGCGCATCACACACGGCCGAACGTCAGCACAAAGATCTCACACAATTTTAACGGCAAACATCGACCGAAAAAGTAGCACAAAATTACGAAAAGGTCATTGAACGTCTGGCTTCACAAAAATAACAATAAAAACAATTGTCTTCGCTGAATTCATTTCTTCAATCACTTTCTTGGTATCTTCACAATTTTATCTGGGCTTTCGTATGCACGCCATTTTCTTAATCCCGAACAAATACTTTATCTTAAATTATTGAATAGTTTTAAGTAGATTTTATCGTACAAAATTTCTTAGTACTTCCTTGGAATTTCTTCAAAATCTCATGACTTAAGAAGTTAATTAAAAACCATGTAATGAAAAAAAAAGAAGTATGAAGTTCACTTTCGATGTATTTTGTAGATCTCATCCAGCAACACTTGTCACTGATATACCTAAGTCTGGGTGCAATCTCTACGAAAGAAAAGAGCAAGATCGTCAAGGACATAGCGGATTCTGTTTCCTGATGTCGCACAATGATCGCAACCGAAATATAATTCGGATGTTGAAGAATTCAAACGAACGAACGAATGTACGAACATCTCGTTCACTAACAACAATATTCTTGCAAGCCCTTGGGGAGGGGGGGAAGCATCATGATGAGGCTGGCTCACCGTGTCTAAGGTGGGCCTGAGCGGACGGCGGGCACGTGGTTGTCGCCGGTCGCTAGCTCATGTCGCAGGCAGCTGCTTCCTCCTTCCTTCCTTCTGTCCGACGCACTCGTCAAGCGCGGGCCGAGCACTGGCCTCGCGAAGGGCGGCAGAGAGCGGTGGAGGCGGGGAGGCGGGGGGGAGGAAGCGGCGACGGCGGCGGCTGGCGACGCGTCGAGACGGGCTCCGCGTGGCGTCGCGTCGCGTCGGGTCGGCGTCGCCCGTCCGGGGCACGTGCCGCGTGCGCAGCGGGCGAGGCACTGACGGCCGCCGCCGCGGGCGCGCGCACGTGCGGGGGGGCGGGGCGGGCGGAGAAACTGCGCGCGCGCGCGGCCGGCGCGCGACCGCCCCCGCCACGCACCGCCGCCGCCACCGCCTCTCGCGCAGCCACCCGCCCCGGAACACGTGACTTGCACGCGGACGGCCGCCCCGCCCGCCCGCCCCACGCGCCCCGCCCGCCGCCCCGGCGCCCCGGCTGGTGTTTTCCTGGCGCGGGCGATGCGGGGCGAGTGAGTGCGGTAGGGCAGGAGGGGCTCCGTAGCCCTCCCTGACCGATTGACCCAAGCGATTTGACTCAGATGCGCCCAGGCACGTTTGGCGCACTTGCCAATGTCTTTGTTTGGGGGCTCAGAAACCCAGTTCGCCAACGCTCTTTAGCCACTCTTTAATATCTTACAACTTCATTGGGACATTGGTATTAATTCGACTATCTCTCATATTGGAGCAACAAAGAGGAGTGCCTCATGGCACAACCCCCCCCCTCCAAGAAGCCATCAGTGCTTACTTATCTTCTTTAGCAATGCAATGCATTTTATATAAGATATATATCGTACTCAATTGAGATATTGAACGCATTGCGTTGCATACACATAAATCTATAAATCGACAAATAAAAATAAATTTGAAATTTAGTATAAAAGTATGAAAAAGCATATACACCTACAGCTCTTCCTCTAGAAAACATCTGAATGCATCTCTGTTCACCCAGAACGTACCTTTCAAGTTTATGTTTGTTCGTCGTCTGATTGCTACATTCCATTGTTTTCTTTATAAATAAAAACTATGTTAATTAACAAAGGAAAGGAGAAAAACAAACGAAATATAAAGAAAACTAATGTTAAAGTGAGAAGTAAGTTCACCTGCGCCAGAGTTCCCTTTCTAGGTCCCAAGAAATCACTCCAGCTTTTCGAGGAGGTTGGAATCTTTCAAATTTATTCATCGTAACTATCACTTTAAATGTGTTTACCAAACCTGATCTAAAGCATGTTGCAAATAAAATGTTTTGATTCTTTTGTATATATTATGAGTTATTTTATGTTTTCTCTTTCGTTTATCTAAGGCTCCATAATATGAATCCACATAACTGATGTGAGTTCGGGAAATTGGTTTGGTTCCAGTGGTTAGGCGCCGAGTGTTAACCATATACTACAAGCGTCTTTGCTTACCATTACTTTGCTATTTCCTAATGATTAGAAATCTTGAAGAAAAAACAAGAAAGCTGCAAACAAGAAGAAACTAAATATTGTAATAATAAACTTTTATTTCTCAATTATTTCGTTTTTATATTTTTCAATAAAACCGACAATATTTATGCGACACCGTTTGACAAAATTGCGTAGGCTCAGAACAATGACCAACAAAAAGTGGCTCAAAATCGCCGTTATTATTAAAAGAAGAAATACGCTTAGAAAATAACTTATCCTTACTAAAGCGCCAAAGACAACATGAGTAAAAACATGTTATTGGGGTTCGAAATAAACAGTTACGCTCCCAAAATAAAACCTTAAAATATCAATTTCTAAGATGCACAACTTTCCTTGTATGCACACGGAAAGTGAAGCGTCTTAAAAATTGTGCGATGATGTTTACGAGAATGCACCGCTAAGAAAGTCTAAGAGAAAGATCTTCGGCTCATTTTTATTGAATAGGCTGGTGAAAAGGCTACATATCTTGATAACCCTTTTTTTGATAATCTCATAAATTACAAGAGAAATATTTCAAAATTCTTTAATAGAACCAATTTAAAGTTCCCCAATATTATATTGCAAAAGAACTTGCAAGAAACGTTTTCAAAGGTTCTAACATTTGCCAGATCATTCAATGCAATGTTGAGCAATAATCTGATTATCTAATGCCAATGATATTAGATTATTTTTAACACTAAATTCTACGTCTTCATTATAAATTGTTGTACTGAAAGTAATTCTGATGTACATTTAAATGTTGATTCCAGTTTGAAGAGATGAGCTAAATACTACTTGAAGACCCTACTGAATACAGTGAAGTCTACCATAATCAATTAATAGGGTTGAAATACTCTAACAAGTTAAAACGCTTGAAAGAAAGCAAATCGGTTTCATTGAAGTAACTGTTCGAATGGGCAAACCCACATATGCAAAGGGGGATTTGTGATAATGTGCAACAAGCAACTCTCGCCACTACCACCACTCGAACCGAATTTGGACGCATTCAACATCCAAAGAACGGCATTCCAAAGATAAATCGTTGACAGTACTCGTGTACTTCCCCGAAGTCGAAGAGATCCCCCAACTATATTTCTGCCAAAATCTCATTTTGTTTGTTTTGTTGTTGTTTTTTGCTTTATTACACGTTATTTATAGAATATAGATTCTACGTTCAGTGTACAATATATATGAGGTCTTTATAGTAGGTATAATATGAGTACTTTCATTAAGATTATGAAAGCAATAATGGAGCATGTATATGAAAGGGCAATTAATTCAAAGGATGTGTATGAAAATGAATAAATCGATAAACATGGAAGTAATGAGGCTCTTAAAAGAAGAAAGCGAGCTGCCATGCAACTGTAGGGATTTGGTCAAGTACCATTTTTTCAGTTTTTAAGTCACAAAGATTAAAATTTAATGACTCAAAAGAGTCTCAGACAATCGTGTTAAGTTATATTTCAAACGAGCCGTTTTGGCCTGTCTCGCTGTTCTGCACATGCCTTTCTCATCAAGAACTCCTTCAAAACGTTATTAACTTACATGAATTTATAACTTCATTTGAACTTTCAAATAGGAAGTAACCTTCTACTAGAATGGTAATTAATTCTGGAAGTAAAGTATTTATACGGTAATGAGATGATTTGATAAAATATCTTAAATAAATAGTGTATCAGAGTAACTTAAATAATTCCTATAAATTTAATTTTTCTAAACTTTATTCAATGACTTATACTAACAATGTAATATAATTTACCCGAAATGTATTTAATAGAACATTTTTTCGATAGTGGATTAATAGTTTCAAGGAATTGTCCATCCTCAAATTCCTCCAGGATTTTTCAAGACAACCACAACACATAACATTGGACCGTTGATTTGCGTTAGTTGAAGGGATAAGCAATTATCAAACACCAATTCCATTAACATATTTTTTATATTTTGAATAATTCTATACTTTTCAGAAAACTATAAGTGCAAGATAACCTAATTCTGTCTTTGAATCTAATATCAAATTGAACTTTGCTTGGTTTATGGTAATTGTATACCGGAATGTAATGCATTACATTCCCAATACTTTGGAAATGTGACCATAAATACATTTCAAAATATTAAACTTCATCAATTTTGGACCATTGTGAATAAATATTAAAACTTGTAAAAATGAAAGACGCGCTTAAATTTTTTGAGCAGATAATTCCATCCAATCGGATTCTACCTTTTGTTGTATCAAACAATGCTAAAAGCCGTGGTTTCAGAGCTTTTGTTAGGAATTTGTTGTTGCTGAATCAAATGCTATACTCCACGAATTACATTTCATTCTGATTTCTCTACAATAGTTTGCAGTAAGCTCTGTTCAATTAAGCCTGTTACTGCACTCACTACGTCCAAAATACGGCATTGTCCTCGCCAAATATTCAATTTCAGAAACTTTCGAAACTCTACCATTATCATTTATGCATCAGTGAATAATATATGCACTGATTTAAGTCGTAAGATCTGACAAGTTTTAAACATTCGTACGATCTTAAGACGCTTATTTTATTTCCCCCAAAGACTGGTATGATCTATGTGGTTTCCTTCCTAAATTGAATACAAATCTGTCAGGTCACTTTTTTACTCTCAAATTTTTATAAATTATTTTGTATTTTATCTCATCATTTCCTTCGTTTCATCATTTCATTCGTCATCAAGTATCTTAACCTTCCTCATCTTTCTCTTGTATTATTCGTTTATACATTATCTACATTACACTTATTAATTGACTCGATCTTTCAATTGAATAACTCGCTCTTAACAGTCGCTTACCTATGCCATTTTGATATCCGATAAACACCAAGGGCCGTCAGCGCTGGCCTCCAAAATAAATTGTAATATAATTGAAGGTTTTTTAACTAATAATGCATGTATTTAGCAATATACTATAATTATTTTCTCCACAGTTGTTTTAAATATTTGAATGTATTCAAAGGCATATATTGTGAACATTTTCTATTCTTGCGTGTTTTTTTCCGCAGGGATACTACGACGTCCTTTATGTAACTACTTTAATGTATTCAACTTTCAATGTTTTTTATCTTTCTCTGACCGCACAACTGTTCTCTATATCGACACGGACGAAAATTATATTTTAACGGTTTATGTGTACACCTAGCGGTATGAGAATGCCATAGTTTCTAGGAAGCGTTTACGCATGATGACGATTTCGTTTTGTTTTGTAAACATTATTCGAAAAGCATTGAAACTATAACGAAGGGTTTAGAAAGGTTCTAATAATCAAAATCCTAAAAGATGAAACAGCAACTCCTTATCTACACAAAGATATTAGAAAAAAACCTTCGCTAGAATCCATCATTAACCCCCACCCCCTACCGTTCGCCGTTGGGATGCGATTGTTAATACGTTTAGAGTCAAAAAGGTACAAACATTTGTGCAGGAGGGAGATGTGACTCTTCCGCAGCCTTTTCTACACATCCAGACATTGAGCAGAAGGGATACTAGTCTAGGCAGTTACGAGTATCAGACCAGATACGAAAACTTTTGGATGATTTTTGCATGTACAGGGATAAAAAACCAATCCATCACTATTTTTCACATAAATATTTGAATTTTCTTTACCAGTTTCATGCAATTTATACCAACAAGTCAATTCTTGATGCACACATGAACATCTGTCTAAGCGAGTGAATGTAATTTATAACAGTAAAATGAAGTCGTTAGGAACAATGTCATTCCTCCTTCAATAATTCCTACTACATCACACAATACATTACCAAATAATTATTTTTGTGTCCTAAATTTCTTCGATCCAAGTGCAATCATTATCATAGCCTCATTTCGATACATCATCCATCATCTTTACAATACTGAACAGGATTGTGTCATTCAACTACTTTCTTTCTGCCATCTTTAGTACTAGGTAAACCGTCGGATCCACTTTCTAATCCGAGCGTCGAACGCGCGTTGAAATAAACCGCCCCGAAGAAAAAGACGCCATTTACATCAGACACTTACAAAGCGTGGATCCTAGGTGTGCAAACTCTCGACGAACTATCACTATAGGATTAACTATCACTTACGAAGCCACCTCCGAGAACGGAGCTAATTTGCAAAGCTCGCTCCGGGGGCACATCGCAATCGCCTGTGCACGAACCCTCGAGCGTCGGCCTCCACTTGTTGAGTGCGCTGACGTTTGGAGGCTCGAATCGCTGTTTTATTCAGCAGAGTGAAGCGAAGAACCCGGAATTAGCACCGGCGGGGTATTCCACCCCTCCCTTCCTCCCCGCAAGACGAAAGCGGCCTGAACAAAGGTTATTCAGGGCCGGGGGGGGGGGAGGATCGTACGACTGCGTACCAGCGGAGCGGATGCAAGGGTTCTTAGAACTTAACGAGAAACTTGGCAAACATTCGAGTCTCTAGAAACCTTACGTGATTTACTTGGAAACATTGTGGCCTCTATTCGTTGAAGGTTAGAAAACAGTTATTTCGAAAAGGAAAAAAATGTTGTATAGTTATTATTGTTGTGTAACTGTGATTGTTGCATTATCTTTAAACTGATTTCAAATTGAGGTAACTTAAGATAAGTTCGAGCTCAAAGGAATTTGTTTTACTAAATACTCTTTTTTCCAAATACACTTTTATCATCTGAAAAGGATTTATTTTGCTGGAGAATGGTTTTATCTTCAAAAGATGTGTTAGTTTTGCGTCCAAAGGCAAAGTGTTTTACTCTTCATAATGGCTGCCATTGAGAATTCTTAGAAATCATTCCAACAAGAGTCGCTCTAGTGACATACAATATTACCTTGAACACTTACTTATAACACTTATTTCGAAAAGGAAAAAAACGTTCTATAGTAAAGAAAAGTCCATAGGATAGAATGAAGCGGGACTCTAATTCACTGTAACTATGATTGTTGCATTATCTTTAAACTGATTTAAAATTGAAGTAACTTAAGGTAAGTTCGAGCTCAAAGGAATTTGTTTTACTAAATACTCTTTTTTCCAAATACACTTTTATCATCTGAAAAGGTTTCATTTTGCAGAAGAATGGTTTTATCATCAAAATATGTGTTAGTTTTGCGTCCAAAGGCAAAGTGCTTTACTCTTCATAACGGCTGCCATTGAGAATTCTCAGAAATCATTCCAACAAGACGCGCCCTAGTGACATACAATATGCTAATTCTTTAGCATTTATGAAAATATTTAGAATCCGCATGGCGAAATTTAAATATCCGTTTTTCATACAACGAAATAAACTTGATTTTTCCCATTTTTACTGTTTACTTGTATTCCTAAAGAATTGGGAGTGTGGGCCGGAGGTACCAAATTGATGTTTAATTTCTTCGTTTTCACTCGAACTTCTGCCCCTCCCAAACGTGAAAGCTTTTTTCTCTGAACTGTGCATATCCATGCCATTTATTTCCTCTCAGAAGGGTTATTTTAATCTCGCCACAAAATACATGGTTCATCGTCTGATTTCTCCATAAATTGTAGTTATCAGCAAACGGTTGCACAATTCATTTTAAATTTGTCGGTAAACCTTTCACTAAGTCAAGAAACATAAATGGTTCAATGACACTTTGTGACCTAGTCTTCTATCCTGTCTTGTTTCATGGAAGAGAGTAATGCATTTAACCTTCCTTTCGTTTGTACTTAGATTTATAAATTTCTCTACAAAACGATCATGCGAGACTTTAAAATCTTTGGCTAAATTGCATTTACCTAACCTTTCGCGTCGACCCTTCCACCCTTATCAATTTAACCCTAATGGGTTCTGAGGAAGCGAGAAAACTGGCTCGTACTAAGAAAACCGTAACTGAGACCCTTCTAACTCTGACACTGCCTCTCCTTGCCTTTCCAGTATTTCTTGATATACATTGTAATTAATTGTTCCATACGACTGATATGGCTCAATGGTCCTTAGGTACTGCGCATTTTTTTTACCGCTTTAATAATGGACAATAAGAGAGCAAGCTCCCATTTTTCGGCGCGCAAGCATTACCGACTGATACTTTTAATAATCAAACAAAATATGGGAGAATATCCTCGCAGTTCAGTAAAATAGAGTCTGTGTAAATGCCAAAATAAAAAAAATTCGTTTATATTCCATATTTTTAATAAATTTGTTCATAAAACCGTATTTATTAAATAGTTGCCATATTGTATATCAAAAACAAATCAACATTTCCCGTATCAAATTAACTAGGGGTAACTATTCTTATTTATAACATGAAAAGAAACACTTAACAGTGTGTGGGCACCTATAGAGAGTAGCGTCTAATGGCTTTGGAATCTACCAAAGAGCGATTGCCGTGTGCGCGAACGCGGCCTGGAGCCACCGCCAGGCGTCGCCCCTGTGCCCTTCGGGCGGTGCGTGCCACAACCGCTGGGCGCTCGCGGACCCTTTGGTGGCGGCGGCGGCGGCGGCGGTGGCTGTGGCTGTGGCTGTGGCTGTGGGCTTGAGCGAGTGACACAAGGAGCGGGGGTGGGGCGAGAAAGCGGGTTGTTGGCGGGGGAAGGGGCGGGAGGCGGGTCGGATGTTGGAGTGGGGGCGAGGCGGAGAGTGAGCGAAGTGGGGGACGGCGAGTAGGAACGGAGGAGGGACAGGCGGGGACAGAGGATGGTTCAGGGGCTGTGCTTACACGGAGGCGGGGCGGGGAGGGGTGGTGGACAAGGGGGGGGGCGGCGGCGGGCCGTCCGGGGACGGCTGGGGCGGGGCGGGCAACGGCCGCTGGCGCGCGCCGCAATCGATGCCGCAGCCGCCGCCGGCTCACGCACGCCTCCCGCCTACGCACCATGCACGCCGCCCCCCCCGCCCGCCGCACGAGTGCTCTCTGAGAGCGCTGCACCGCCCGCGCCGCCACCGTCGCCGCCGCCGTCGTGTCGCCCACTCTCTGCCCCGCACCCCGCTTTATGACAGGTGGGCCGAAGATTCTCAGCCTCTCAACGCCAAAAATTGCGTGACCACTTAAAGTGCAAACCTCTGCGTTACAGCTTGATGCGAATAAACAGACGGCAGGGTGAACGAGCAAAAGCGACGTATTTTGCCACTTACTGTGTGTTTATCTCATAGTTTTACCTGATTTTTTCTTCAGCCGCTGTGTTTGGCGTTCTGATGCGTATTGTCTATTTATAATAATGCACACGCTTTCACTACTAGGAATAGTATTTTTTCCCCTCAGACTATTCGCATCCGCAACACAAAGCAACAATTCGCTCTAGAGTCAGTGATTTGTCAAGTTGGTCCCAGAAAAACGTATAGTGGTAATAAATAGTTTCACATGGACTCTCCTTCACTGATTCCCAAGTTTTCCAAACGTAGGTAAACTAAAGAAAAAGTAAAAATTGGCATAGAATAGAACCTACGATTTAATGGTTTGATTCTGACGAGTATTTTCGGTACTTAATTGCTTCTTGAAGAACAAAATGATCTAATATTAAAAAGTAATAATAGTAGCAATTGAGACACTCAGAAAGAGGATTATGAAATATAATGTAATAACACTCTTTAAGTTTATACTCGTGATATAGTGGAATCTCAATCATTAGAGTCTAAAAGACAAAAAGGGCAAATCAAATATTGCGTAACAACAAGATTCGAAACATTGATAGAAGTGGTAAGTACTACAATCAATTTTTAGAACAACGACATTAATTGACATAACTGCCCTCTACCTTACTCTCCTTATATATTCAAATGCTAATTAATTGAACTCAATTTATGCCTATCGTTAATAATGATATCATATCATTATTTACAATTTTTACTAAAATAATGGTAATTACTATATATTCGGGCTTTTGTGCTTTTCGGGCTGCCCGGGAGATGACTTGTGAGAGTATACGTGTTGCAAGGGATCAAGAGAATTCTGACATCAGGTCCAACGGAACAGGAAATTAAGTAATCCGGTTCGAATTCACTGTGAAATTTCACCACTGTGCCAGACCAGACACAAAATTACGTCAGTCGAATCATTTCCTGCACTTTGATATCCATTTTGAGAAAATTACTGAAGAGGTTCAGCTGCACTGCCATAAAACTTATTCAAAATTATTTATTTTATCTCAAAACTTAAATTGGAGAGAGTCGACACAATTGCAGTTCTTTCATTATACATCCTCTTCGTGGCCTTCATCGCATCCCTGAAGTAGACACACATCCGACCACCAATAATAGTACATATCTCTCAAGGTAAAGGGTGAAGGATGATTACCCTTTATACTAGTTCACTTATATTTTATATTAAAATAATCCGTAGCTCTCTTACAGAAATTTCATGGTAAAAGTCAATGAAACATTATGAACCTTTCGAAACATAGCAGGCTTACCTTAGGGCTCTGTGCTCTCTCCAAAACTATTTGATGTTTTCACTTCAGATATCCCACACAAGCCAGACACCAAATTAGCTCTCTTCGCTGATGATAGCTCGCTTCGCACAACCATATTTATTTCTCATGAACACAAATCTTAGGCAAATATCCGATACACAATAATCGGGAAGAACTAATAGCGTGATCAGATCAGAAAATAATTAAAATTAATCCAGTAAAATGTCAAACCAAAATATTCGCACTTCGTAGCCCAAGAACTCCCCCTAACGTAAAGATCAATTTTAGCCCTATTCAATGGAATTCTGGCCTAATTAAATATTTTGCTGTGCTTTTCGATAAAAGATTAACATGAAAACACCATATTCTTGCATTAGTAAATAAATCCCAGAGGAAAATGTCAAAAATATACTTATTAACAGAAAAGCATCATTAAAAATTGAACGTCAGCTTACGATATTTACATCAATCATTTTACCACCTTAACATATGATAGCCCTGTCTGGGGAAACGCAGCACCATCATTAATACAGAAACTTCCGACGTTACAAAATATGTATGTCTTAGAAAAATCATGGAAGCGTTATGGTATATAGCCAATTCTCCGATCCATGGGGAGCTACATATGGATTTAATCAAAAATTACTTCTCCACGATTTCGAAAATTCTTTTACTCAACATTTCTCACTTAACAAATAAATTTAACCTAAAGATTCTATGCATTCTTGCGAAATCAAATCAATTTCCAAAAGATACATTTCGCCCATCCCCGTAAGTAATGATAAACCTAAATCAAAAACCCAATAGTAAAGGATGTAAATGTTAAATAAATACTAAACCAAACCCAACCCAAATCAACACGTAACAAACGAAGCAGCGATGGAAAGCTCAAAGAGCCAAGGATGCTCATTCCTAATAATGAAAATACTATTGTTTTCAAGCTCTTGAAAGGCCATACAGCTGAACAAGAAGTAAATAAATGAAAAAAATAGATTAAAATCCCACAAAAACTTCTAATTACAATTTTTATCTCTTATTGATTAGAAAGACTTTTCAAAATCTGACAGGTTCAGAAACTTCCTTCTTACTTTAGAAAACAAATCCTTCAATGTGGCATAGTAATACGGTCGCGTGAATATTTCATGACTCCCCATCCAAAACAATACATGTTATTTCAAATTCTGAAATGAATATAATTTATTTCATCTTTAAAAGAAATTCAATACATATTGAAAACGTTTGAAATTTCAAAAGAATGGAATATCTCGTCTATTCAAGAGAAAAATGACAACTTAAAAATTGTCATTTTGTGGAACAACTGTTTTCCTGTAAAGGGAAACCAAAGATCTGTGTTTTTTACTACCGGCTGTCTGGTGAATTATCTTCATTCTCTTCATCTAAAGACGAAACGTATGAATCTGAGATCAGTTTTGTAATAATAATTTTTAGAATAAAAATGTGCTAATAACCGATATCCAACTGTTAACTGACATCAGTCTTGATATCAACATTGGCCATCGTGTGATAATTCTCCAATCTGATATTATAATATGGCATACAATACTTCTTTCATTAATAAGTCTTGTGAATTATGTTACTATTCTTGCCTGTTCTGATAATTTAATATATTACAAATTGAATTTAGTAATCGAATATATCAAGAATCGACTTATCATCTGGTCAAATTTCAATGTAACAAAGTATTAAGATATTTTTAGGCCGCTTTTTAACAACTTGATCATCTAACGGCCACTGTGATTCCTTTCATTGTGGGGGAAATGTAGTAAGAACATGTGAGGACAACACGAACACACACAATTATTCAATTCCAAGGCGGGATTCGAACCGGCAACCCTGCGAGCCGACGCAGCTATGGTCCTTCAGCCTCAGAGACCTCGGCTATCCATGCTGATTATGATTTTCCTGTTAGTAAACTTACGCTATTCTCTAAACGCAACAAACAACAAATAATATATTGTTGCACTAATTGCCATTAAATTACTCATCTCGCATTTAACAATCGAAACAGAATTAACTGTCTAGCTGTATGTCATGACTCGCGAGCTAATCTTTGTAATTAACAATTTTCACTTAGCCAAAAATTGACGATTTTTTAGAAGCTTCATAGTCTCGGTCACAGACTAATTTTATATCCCGAATAAATAGAAAGGAAAGTTTGTACACCCCCGCCCGTCAGCAGATCTCTGAGCCCCAAAGCACTGAGACACTTTTATGAGTCCATTACAATGCATAGATTCGACTGCTCTGCAAAAGCCGAACACCATAGTGGGCGCCTCGATTACCGTTTCTTTCAAAGATAATTAATTCGGAGAAGAATCAGTCATTGATATTTAGTCGTTCAAAACAACGAAAACAATCATAATCATTATTTTCTTGAATAGTTTATTATCGCTTGTCTAGACCCACGGTAAAACCAACTCGAAGTGTGTGTGTGTGTGGGTGAGTGGTGTGTGGGTGATGTGTGTGGGGGAGACGGATGCGTGGGTTGGTTTGGTGGGTGAGTGAGTGGCGGCGAAAGTATGTATGTATGAGTGGGCGGATGAGAGTGTGTGTGTGCATGGCTTAATTGGGAACAATTATAACAGGATTGTAGTAAGCGTTAGATTGAATATAGGGATTATTTTGATAATGCTGTTTCGTTCATTACGTTGGAAATTTTGGTTACGCTGGAACATTCAGGTTCATATTCGGAAATAATATTTGAATGTAATATTGGTTTTAATTGGTTGATTTATTGATTGATGATCCCGGGCGTATTAACTACTGAGGTCATTAATCACGTTTAGTACATATGTTTTCCTCAGGAGGTGGAAGTGCTGGATAGCGAGATCCGGAGCCGACATGCACGTCGACTAGCGTGGTTTTCCCCTAACCAGGTATCTCCCGCCAGCGAAGTTCTAAGCACCCGACTGACCACCCGGCATGGGCAGTATGTGGTGTATGCAAATGTGTGTGTAAGTAAGGGGTGAGGTTAGACTTTCGCCTGGTGTTGATCGGAGAAACCACAGAAAACTACCATAACAACCAGAATCCTCCTCCAGATAGCAGCAATCTAGTGTCGAAAATTCTGCCGTCGGTGGGACTCGAACCCTAGGTATTCCCGGTCGTAGGCACTGTAGCGATATTGATTGATGACGTGAGGCACCTCAGTCGGTTGTACTCGTAATATTGGACATGTTACGGAATCAGGATATGTTGATGAATAAAAATTCCTAGTTTTTCCACAGTCACAGATTTAATACATCTAATATCCTAGGATACATTGGAAAATATTGTCAGACTACGTGATATTATGAATCAGTTGCTAATAAAAGCCTTTCAAGCTTCCACAAACGTTAAGAGTCACGCAGTTTACTCGTATGCTGTGCGTAATATAGCGTATTTAATAGCTTTATTATCTCCCATTTAATTGTTCGTCTAAGTATTCGGAAACATTTTATTCGCACATTAAGTAAATATTTTTCATTACTTTGCTTTCTATATTTTTATCTTATTTTCATGCATCCTCTTCTCATTTCTACGTTAGATCTTGCTTGGTAATCTGTTGTGTTAGCACTTTACTATCAAGTCCTGGCAAGGAGGAAATTCATGGAACAATTAAGTTTAACGCTAGATAAATTTGTAGACATTAATAGAAGTTTGTGAAGTGTCTTATTAACGTTTCAGGAGTAATTGTTAGTTCAACGAGATTGGTTTAATCAACTGAAATTCTAATTTCAAAAAGTCAATGTTTAAACTGCGGAGCAGCATATGTAGAGAAAGGAGTGGCAAAAAGAATGTCAGGATTATAGGATAGAATGGGTCCAAATTTTACTAAACCTTGCAGAATTGCTAAGAACGTTTTGTGAACAATTGAATATAAGTTATAAGAATATTAATCACTCGATTTATGAATGTCATAATTATGGATTCATATCATTATTCTATAAAAAACTTACCCACATCTAAAACCGGATTTAAATCTGGCTAACTTAGTACATCAAAAAGGTAGAACTTATCAGTGCTCCATGCAATCAAAAACTGCAGAAATCTACGTAATATTTGGCAATTATTGTAAGAGATAATATTCGTAGCAATTATTAAAATTATTTTAAAACGCATTTCAAACTGCATACTCATGCAGTTTGAATTTCCTCATGTTGCCAAATTTCTTTTGGCGAGGAAGCAGCTTTACGGATCCAGCAGAATGCAACATGAGACCTGAATGTAATCTAAAAACGGCCTCAGGTGGAGGTATCCCTTCCGCAGGGAAGCCGCTCATTTCCTGGAGCCCCAGGCTGTTGGGGCGGTGTCAGGGATAGCACCTTGGACGGGGAGAGAGTGGAGGACGAAGAGGACGGAGCACAGGCGGCGGCAGGAACAGTGGTAAGAGCGGAGGCAAGAGCGATGACAAGAGCGGGGGCAAGAGTAAAGACAAGAACAACAGCAAGAGCGGAGGCAAGAACTTTAGCAAGAGCGAAGGAAAGAGCAGCGACAAGAGGGTACGTTAGAGTGAAGGCAAGAAGGACAGCAAGCGCGGTGGCAAGAGCTAATGCAAAGTGGTGTCAAGAACAGCAGCAAGAGCGACGGCCAGAGCCACGACAAGAGAAGCAGCAAGAGCGACGGTAAGAGCGACGGCAAGAGAAGCAGCAAAAGCGACGGCAAGAGAAGCGGCAAGAGCAACAGCAAGAGAAACGGCAAGAACGGTGGCAAGAGCGGTTCTGGAGGATGTCGACGAGGGTGCGTTGGCAGTGGCGTCGTGTGCGGGCGGTGCCGGCTAGCGACGAATGGGTTCTCACCCAGGACGGCAGCGAGGTTGGCGCGTCTATTATCGAATTTCGAGCAAATCCTCTGCCGGAGCGCGGAACGGAGCGGCGGCAACCAGGCCTCTCCCCTTCCTGGCACGTGCGGGGCCGACGCCCGCCCGAGCCTCCGTTGCTCTGAGCCGGGGCTTTGCCCGCCAATGAGGCACGATCGCGTTCGGTTGCTGGCAAACCCTGGATGCTTTCACCTTGTGGCTGAGGCAAGGGAAGGCAAAACGTCTCGCATTCCATAAAATGAAAATCTACATTCTGCACCACGTAATTTTTTTATAAATTGCTGTATAATTACTTAATGACTAAATGGAATGCCATTCGATTACTTAATGACTAATCAAATAAATGGAATGCCATTCGATCAAGAAGAAACATACGAAGATGTTGAACAAAAAGCGGATGGTAAGTTATATTTGTCATGTAATAATGTATCCCAAACAATTAATTTACCACTTTTTTTACTCTGACACTCTAATTCTGAGATAAAAATCCAATTACCGGTCATTTGTGTTATATCATATATTTAAATCGACTTCCAATATTTTGATTGTCAAAGTTAATATACATTAAAGAAGTCGGTTGGAAATTCTTTCAAACCGGGAAGGAAAATTGTGGAGGCATAATGCGTGATTATAAAATTTGCTAAAAAGTTTTGCAGTACTAGCTTTCTCTCTTTTCTTTCAAACTTTTAATTCTTCTAACCCGTTTGCTTCAAAACAGGAAAATAACTACATATATTGCAAAACAATGTTTTCAGTCCACATTCTTACAAATACTACAATACAGATATTTATATGGAAACTTGTAAAACAAATTATCGTAACATTCAAACTTATCTCACAAGTTCATATATCCATCAATTGAGTGGCATGGAAAAAATGTCCAGTACAGCAATAAAAACTTGTTTCTAATTCATATAAACGACGTGTCTCACATTTTATGAACTTTTTAATGAGTTTTAAAAATGATCACTTTTTAACTTTATAATTTGGAATATTAAATAATCGAAGTATTGGTTAATCTAAAAAGCAATTTAGTTCTCCATGTGCTAATATAACATATTACTCCGTTATACGTTTTTACATTAAGTATAGATTTAATTTCCGCTCTTTATAAAATCAAATTTTCAGCTCTCATGCTTGGAATCTGGTATTTACATTTACAGTTTTTGAGTGGAAAGTTGTGAGTTTTACTTTGTGGAAAACCTTTTTGTAATAATTACATACGATGGTACGTCTTGTTATACTAGTTACGTAAATAACTATGGTTGGAACTTTCATGTGTGAAGTCAACCAATTATTATAATTTATCAGAATATTCGGGTTTAATGTAAACTGGAGATACAATTTTAGAAACTATCAAAAGTATATTCTTCAACGAGCGCATAATTATGACTATTATGTACGAGTTGATGTTTGCAACACCTTCGACATAGGATCGAGTGTAGTAATTTCTACGAGTTAATAATAGCCATTATGCGCGGGTAGAAGACTGATTTTGAACAAATTTTGTTTTATTTGAAATGCAAGTATAGGGATTACCTACATCAAACGGTGTATGTAAGTACAATGTGCTTCTTAACATTGAGTAAATATTCCATAAACTGGAGGGTTTGTACTATTGAGAAAGCTTTATAAAGTAAGACAACAAAACTTTCTCGCGAAGCGAATTCACCTATTACTCTTTCCCTACTCTATAACTTTTGTATAAGATTGATCATAGTACGACATTGATTTTTCTGGCAACAATTGTAGAATTGCCAAATGCCTATTTCCTGAATTTCAGGTGGTGTACAAATTTCATGTCCACTGTCGCTGGAGTCAAGATTAATTTTCTTTTCATTTTCTCGTTATATATTTTCCTTTGACTTAAAAATGGCCTTCAAACCCTTAAAAAAATTAATGTCGAACAAGCAAAATATATACTTAATAAATATTAATTTTGTGTTGAATAATCAATGCAAAATGTAACGAGAATTGCGAATACAACAATGTCTAGGTTTCGTACATAAAACTGCGAAATCACACTTGTATACAGCGATTCCAAAGAAGCGCAAATTGCAAAGAGAATACAATTCTGCACGCGGATTCTGAAAATTCTAGGAATGTGATTGTTTGTCAGGCCGTGGATTCCGAACTGGAATCCACAGAGTGTGTAATCGGTCATTCGTCAATTAAATATATAGCAGGAAAACGTATATTATTAAATAGTCGTAGAGAAACAACATTACATAAATAAAACCTTTTTGTCAAAAGTAAATTGCTGATTGTTGATTAGTTTCTCGAATCGTTGAATTTGGTATTTTTAATTTGGACATTGAACGAATAAATTCGAATAGTATATAGTATTTCAATGTACTAATAAAAATAATTCCTAGCACGGAAAGGCAATAAAGCGGAACGACGAAAACTCCAACTGCAAATTTACATTCCAAAACCAAGTCATGTTGTTTTTTCGTGAAATATACTTTTACTCGCATAGTCATTGCTACTAAAATCACAATGATCCGTTCTGACGTATCTCGGTTCTACACTGAAATTCTAATTCGTTATTTTGTTATGAAACGGGCAGTGAACATTTAAGGGAAGATAAACATTCATTTCATGTAAATTATTGATTACGGAGAAGTTTATTCACAATAAACTCACAGACATTTTGAAACAATAAAAATACCGACATAAATTCAAGTCAACAAATAGGCAAGAAATATTCAATGTTACTAGGCATAAAATAAACATCAAAATATTACGAATACCGTTCGCAAAGTTCTGACACGTATGATACAATGTCTTTTGTCGTTCACTACGTGACAAAAGCAAAAGCAAAAGTGAACTATCGAAGACAAATTATACAAATAAAGAAGTAATTTTCTTTCCTGTAACTTAAAAAAGTACATTGACAATCGAAAAAACATCTTTGAAGAGTTAAGAAATAAGTTTTAACAATCAAACAAATCTAAAACATTCAGATTTCATGTAATACGTTCACCCGTTTCTCCAATTTTTGCTAGAAATTTTCAGGAATAGTGATATAAGTTTTTACGAATTTACAATGTAAACAACACGTTTACACGAAGAAAAGAACTAATAGTTAGAATATACTACTTTTTGATATTAACTGCAATGGTTTTGTGATATTATATTGCAACTTCAATCCGTTTCATACGTCACCCTTCTCGTTAAAAAACTTTAAAAAAAGACTCAAGAGACAATCGAAAACATTTCATTCCTTTAAATTTTGAAAATTCAAATGGCCTCAGAAGACAATATGTTTCATACATCACATACACATCTTGATAACTTGCCATAAGTAGACTTCGAAAAACGTAGTAATTCGCAGAATACAAAAAAGTCAAAACGAATATTAATTTTGTGAAAGAATATCATAAAACAAGAAATAAACTTGGCTCAAATTAGCAATAATAGACATTGGCTCAAATAGAAATGTTCTTGAGTAAAAAATACTCGCCCTAATGAATAAAAAAATACTTTCAAAGTCGTTTCATTAATCTAAAAATTACAAACATTTCATTGTGAAAGTGAATGCTCTAATCACTTAAACAACTCCTCAAGTTTTACACTTTCCACATTAATTCTTGAATATTAACGACCTAGTGTGATGAATGTTCGACACTTCGGCTGACAGCCTTGCGCGCAGAAAAATTGAGGAACATCCCAGAAAGCCTTTCTGTCGTTAACACGCAGCTCCAGGAGAAGCCAAGCGACACTGTACAGTGTGTCGTTTCGCGTAAGTGGGTGGTAAAAATCCTAATCAAAGAACGTTTACTCAATATATGTTATTTGCTAGACATTTATGATGCAAAGTGACGAGAATGTATGCTTAAACCAGTCTGCTATTAAACAATGCTAGAGAAGATTAGCTAATGAGCTGAAAATGGAATTAGTATCATTGTAAAAGGGTAGGACTTGGTTTACAAAGTGTAAACTGGTATAAACGATGTGGTTGCTTTGTATTAGTATTACTCGCGCAACTTTTCTTACACGATGGATTGAAGAAATGCTGTTAAGAGTGGGGGTATTAGTATATTATTTTACGTCACGCGCCGAAATTGAGGATTCTTTGTAAATTTAATGTTCTTTTTTCATAATTAAGGCGTATAGTTATAATAGGAATAAGTGTACATTCTGAGAAAATTGAGTTAGTAGGTGCAAACTTGAATAGTTAATGCAAACAAAAATGTTGGTCAATTGACATAACAAGTGCTGGGATATGAAGTTAAAAATGAAAAATGTATCCAGAACTAGTTACAACTTGAAAACACTGAACTTCACTTTCTCAGAATTGGGAAACTGTAGCTTGGGCCTTCATGCCGCAATTATAACGGTTTACCCATAAAACCAGATGAAATTAGATCAAGTTTGAGTTCTTCATCGTGTTTCTGAGCGCGTCAAGCACTTCGCTGATTAGTCCCGAAACATCAGTTCCGACGCGTCTTCCCGTCATCTTGAGAGGGTTATCTCTCAGATATCTCTCAGGTAGTGCATGTAAGTGTGTGTGTAAAAGAGAAAAGGAGGGACAAGGTTAAGGCAGAAAATATCGTACGCGGTCTATAGATCGTTTGTTATGTAATTATTCTGGCATTCACATGGAATTGAACAGAAAAAACACAGAAAACTCGTTCAGAGCAATCTGAATAGGATACGGGAAACTTTCGAACAGAGCGGCCAGCCACTGGAATTCCCCTCCAGTCAACGGCTGAGTTCGACCCTGCAACGTAGGCCTAGCTAGTGTCACAAATTCACCACTATCTGGACTCAAACCATAGAATATCTTCATCGCTGGAGAGGAAATGGATGTGGCCACTAACACATCATCGCCTTGGCCCCCCTTCCAGGGCGATGTTCCACTGTCCGCGGCCTGCAAAAAGAGCATCGCGAGGCGATCGCTCGCGAGTATTGTCTCGGGGCGATCCACGCCCCTCGCCCTGAGTTGCCGGGGGCGATCAATGGCGGCGGCGGGGGGGCGGGGGCGGGGTGAAAGGCCCCAATGGCTCCGTCCAGCCACGCCCGAGCCGTCACTGGCAGCCATCGAGGCGCACGAGACAGCGCGTAAGAAGAATTTCCGGATGAAGAGGCGAAAGGAAGTGACGGGACGCGGAAACGAACAACTCGCAGGACGACGGACCGCGCAGACGGCTTCTCCGCGCCACCTGCGCTCAACGCGCGACTGCCCGCTGGATGGGTCGCGCTTCGGTGCGGGACCCCGCCGTCAGGGCTGGAACCGAACCGAGCCGAGGTGACCAGCGACGAGAGGATGGGGATTCTAGATAATTTGTCTCCTCGCAGCCACTCTTTCTTCATTTCTTTCTTCGTTTTCGTTTATGTTTTCCTTCTCTCATTTTCCCTTCTCTTCCCGTTTTCTTCGTGTATTGATAATGTTCGGTCCAAAGCCGGCATCCTGATTGAAATTTTCGGGGTTTACTCAATTGCTTAAGGCGCATGCAGGGATGGTCCCTGGTTTCGTACTCCCAGGTGTAAATGCACAGCCTGTCCTCCGTCTCTTAAAATGTTACTTCTCATTATGTATGTACATTCACTGGTTATGCAGAAGAGTAGGCCCTATGGCCTGAGCTTGACCATTAATAATAATAATAATAATAATAATAATAATAATTATTATTATTATTATTATTATTATTATTATTATTATTATTATTATTATTATTATTATTATTCGTAGTGTGGCGTATGTCTCTTGGATTGATTCATTATTCGATGTTTCCGTCACCTTCGAATGCAAGTAGTTGCGTGTGGATGAAATATCCTGAGATATAATATCTCACCTGAAATATCCTCACCCGCTAGAACGTGATATCAGGAATCGACCTTCACACTCACTTGCCAAGTTTCTTCTTCCTGATTTCTCCCCCAGCGGGGCAACATCCCAGCCGGGTGAAACTCCGTGCTTCCGACTGGAATTTCGACATGCCTGGTAGTGTAATGAAAACATATATATGGAGAACGTCCAATAAGAAGAGCCTGTCCCAAGAATTCTCCTCCAAGTTTCTTAGAGATTAAGATATTTACGTACTTGAATATTTGGAGACAATATTCTTCGTGTCGATTCTGACGAATCGGTGTTATGCAAGTGTTTGTAGAAGGAAATGTTTGCACACACACGTTTTCAAACAACATTTATTACCCACATTATTAATAGGAGGTATGCTAAAGTTGCAAACTTTCTTAAATCCTTCAATTACTATACATGTAATTATATATCATTTATTTCATCCAATGAAACATTTTGTAAAATCAGAAATCACCAAACAAAAATTGTCAAGTCCATGAGACAGTAAACTCAATTATTTTTTAAAATATCCCTCCAATTCATTGGTGTTTTTAACAATAGTTATAATTTTAGGAAGGGGTCCATTAGCTACCCCTTTCTTCAACTAATTACTAAAATATAAAGTTACGGCTGAAACAAACGGCTGAACAGCGCATTGTCTCTCTTCTATTAATTTTAAAAAATCACCCTTACTATCAAAAAAGTGTAATTCTACAGAGTAAGAGCTATAAATCAGAAACCAGATCATTTTTATTCGTGTGCACGAGAAGCTCCAAAGTACAGTTTTCATTTCCAGAGATTATCCAAGACCGATTTGGGCAAGGTATTATTGAGCATACGTGTAATCCGTGCCTTTCAAAACCCAACCACATCGATCTACACGAACACTGAATTACCCTCTCACCTCGAGACAAATCTGTAACGCTCGAAACGTACACATCGCGCCGTGCCCCGGATTATCCTCGAGCCGGCGCGCCACGAGCTGTGACGACCGGGCTCCATCGACACCGCGATATTGCGACCCGGTAAACCCACGGCGGCGGCGGCAGACGATCGCGTCAATTCCTGAGTGCGCTTCATCAAATGAAGTGGTTCCTCGTGTAGCGGCTGCTTTATTACCGCACGCGCGGGGCTATATACGCGCGCGCGCGATGGCGCGACGCTGCGGGGTGCCCTCGGCCCAGCCTCCCTCCCTCCCGCCCACGCTCCACACCTAGCGCGCCCGTACTCGCACCATAGCACACGAGCAGCTAAGAGATGTAAAGTAGGGATTCCCAACCCTCTTCGTTCATAAAACCCTTTTAAAAGAATCTTGTTGGCTCCTTCGACCCCTCATTCTCTATAACATATCGTACGTAATCAAAATACAATAAATTGCCATCAGGAGAGATGTCTCAGGGTATTAACTGATGTCACTGCAGTGCCTCTGATCGGGAGATCCTGGGGTAGAGTCCTGACGGTGGCAGGATTTTCGACACTAGCTACACAGCTAGGTCGAATTCAGTCGCTGTCTGGAGGAGACTTCTAGTGACCGACTGCTCTGATCGGTAGTTTTTTCGTGGTTTCTCCGATCAACACCAAGCGAATGTCGGAGCAGTATCCTGCGAAACTGCGCGCGATCTTTCTTTCCTCTTTCTTGTGCTATCCTCATCCCTTACTTACACATACTTACACTCACATGCACTACACTGTCACACTTTTCCAGAGACCAGTCGGGAGCTTAGAGCTTGCCCCGGCTGGGGCGGTGCCTAACTGGAGAGAGATGCCAGGTTAGGGAAAACCCCTGCAAGCCGACGCAGGTTGGCGCCGGATCGCGACATTCAGCGGAGGAATATCACCGCCGCCTCCCACAATAAAAACATGAACTACACTCACGGGACTAATGGCCTTAGAAGTTAATGCAACCGGAATCACTAATCAATCAATCATTAAGAGGCCCTAGATGTAGAGAGAAGCGCAACTTGAACGACCACCGCAGTCATATTTAGGTAATCCGTGGATGTTTTCTTGAAATTTCAATTCGCTCAATGCGAGAGGAGTGGGAGTTCGATTATTTTATCGACATGACTATTAATACATAAAATCTTTAGTTACTTTTTTATGCAAAAGAGTTTCTATTTCACGGGAGAGAATATTTCTATTAGCAGTTTTTTGTTAACAACGCTCGTTGGAATCATTTTTCTTATTTCAACTAATGTTAATTGAACAAAGAGGCTGCATATTCCGGGGCTCAAGAAAACGTGTGTGTATGTTCGTGCCAACCGCTAGTCAAATTCTCTACCATTGATTACACCGATAGATTAACAGTAGCTCCTTGTCAACGTGAATGGGGAATTTAAATAATTATTTGTAAATAGTTAAAACAGAAGTATGGAACTGTTGCTCTATAATAACAATGTTTAATATTAAATTTAGTGCTTCTTATGACTTTTTCTTTTTTTATGTGTTGGCAATACCAAATATAAGTTGCTATATTGGCTTTGGATATCGTTCTTACGTACTACCGTACTATTTCCTTTTACGTTGAATATCAGTCCACAGTGCTTACATCAAAAGTGAATTACCGACACACAGCTTATGGCTGTGTGTAATATCAAATTATACATTAGCTCGGTTTTCAAACATACGCGAAGAGAAACTGTGCAGACAGTAGTATGATTAGTAGAGCAAATTTTGTAGGCCGAAAACCAATACTTCCGGTTGCGACGAATTGCGCAGAGGTTTTATTTTTATTATTTACTTCTCAGAATAACTTGTGATGTACATTACAGTTCACATCATTTGAGTCATCAAAACATTCTATGAGTTGCGCCAGATTTCATTAGCCTCACAACACATTCGTCCTTACTATGAATCGCCTAGGTCACATTCCACACAAATCCCACCCCACCACATTTCAAATGCCATTTCATTTTTTTATCTCATTACGGTTGCATTATGTATTACATTGAATCCCCTACTTTATCTCGGAACAATACACAATGTATTCCGCAGGAATACATGCAGGAACAAGAGCATGCGCTCTCACCCATGCGTGCATCCCATTCATGCAGGTATGATGAATATTAATTGATCTTTCATTTTGAGAGGAAGTCCGTTGTTTAAATATACATTGAATTATTAATTTGCGAGAATGATTGAATACAAGTGAAAATCACAATGTAAAAACTTCGACATACCAGTGCAAAACTTTCAACACTCTGTCTGATGTTTATTAGAGTTACAACACAATCTCTTTATTTAAAACACTAAGAATTTTCGTTTGGAAAGGAATTTGAGCTTCCTATCTAACCAAATTTCGTGAGGTTTGCTTTAAATGAAAGTAAATGTGTAAGCTGTAAATATGTAATTGTGTTTTCACAACCTCTCTTGTTAACAGAAATTTTTCAGTACAATCACTACACTTCAATAATTGTCTAAAAATTAATGGAATGAAGGTTTACCTGTCGCTAATAATCACTACACCATATTCAATATCAACTACATTGTGTCAACAAAAATAGTTGGTCTTGACCACTTCTTGTGCGCTTGGCAATTGATTTATCGAATGCCGTCGTTTCTTGAGGTTATAGTTAGCGAAGCGAAGAGAGCTTTTTGAATTCGAAGAATGTGTTTTTAAAGGCGCCGATTAGTAAAAGAATAAAAACTTTATGTCCAATAATGCATACTTGACATATGGCCCTACGAAATGAAATTTAGTGCTTATAATTATGTGATGCATTCCGTTTTTAAGATGTGATGAATAGTCAATACTGTGGTAAACAGTCTCTAAAGTCCACTGCAACACTCATGATTGGATCTTGATAAATTTGAAACTTTTCAATTACGTTTTTCGATACTTGTTTAACTAAGTGTTTACAATGAATAGATATTATATTGTTTCAGAATTTGGAAACTTTCCTCGTTTCATTAGTGTTGGAGAATATGTCGTAAGAAAAATAAGAGATTTTCGACTTTCCTAATTGTGTTATACTTTACTACTGTAACTTTTGCAGTTTCTTTCATGAGGTGTAATCACAACGGTCAGACAGTTAAAAGTACAATTAGCAGTCGTGAAGATTCCGACCAGCCTTTCTCTCCAACTTTCTCCATCCCCACCCTCAATGATTAATTGATTAGTGTTTTCGGGCGCGTCAACTACTGAGGTCATTAGTTCTGAGTTACGCACGATTTTTTCGAGGGAGATGGCGATGATTTCCCCGTCTGGATGGCAAGATCCTGCACTGAACTACACGCCAGCTTGCGGGGGTTTTCCACAACCAGGTATCTCTCACAATCTCTGATCTCCCGACTGATCTCCCGGCAAGTGTGGTAGTGAGGTGCATATAAGTGTGTGTGTGTGTGTGTGTGTGTAAGTTCGGGGCGAGGAGAGGACAAGGAAGAGGAATGAAAAATCGCGCGCGGTCTTTGACCTGTTTATACGGTACTTCTCCGCCATTCGCCTGGGGTTGATCAGCGAAACCACGGAAAAGTACTGATGAGTGCAGCCGACCTCTAGAATTCTCCTCCGGTT